TTTATTTTTTAAATATTCAGCACATGCAATCCAATATGGAGGTAGTATTTATAAAACTGAACAATTTTCCCGAAAATCAAAGCCAGGATACAAAATAAAATATCTATCACTCCAATCGTATGGCTTCGCTATAAATACGAGTATAATATGAAAAGTTCAACGTAACACGTATATTTGCCCACATCGCTCTATCTAATGTAGGACACACAGGATCCTATACTACGTTTGCCTGTAATGAGTCATTACTCTAGCACCTTCCTTCCCTGCAGGTCGATATTTTTATTTTCTTTTAAACGTGGCTGATTAATTTTCATGTAAACGCGCCAAACCTTCGGGTTGTATCGGTCCTTGATTTATTTCTTTACGGATTACGTCATTTCGGGTTATGTCATGCAGTGAACCTTCTACAAACGTCGTGGAGCATTTTGTGACTTTCTCACACGACTATCGATATAAATAAGATCGTTAAATCAAATACATTTTACTGAAGTATTTATAGGTAAATACATATACATAGTGTATACCGTGTTATAGAAAAACTAAAATGTGAAACAATAAAGATGACTAAGACAACTGCTTAATAAACGTATAGTTAGTCATTTATTGAAATAATTGGTGATGTAATAAAAACTGTAACGTCTCCAAACGAATCTATACTTTACCTTATTCTATATAGGCAGTATTTTATTTATATGAAGTTATCTCTGCAAATAACGAATCGAATAAAAAAAATCCTTCATTAATATAAAAACACTATCTGAAGTGTTAAATATTTTTACTAATTTAATAGTAACACTTGGCTGTTTTTGTATCGTTTTATTTTTTTATATGTATCTGAAATTTAGACGTACTACATTACCACCAAAATTACTTTCGTATTCGTTTCTCGCATTAACTTGTGCGTACAATATAATATAAATAATATAATATAAATATTTTTCCAACTATTTCACTGCATTATATATATACTTTTACTCCCATCCAAAAATGAATAATCAGAATTCTCCTAGGAAACTAGAGGCAATAAGTTCAATCAAAAACACAAGAAAACAAAGTATGCTACTTAATTATAAACAGCTCACAAAATTTATATAAAATTTGGCACAACAATAACATCCTAGGGACAAAAGGAATGTTGACAACCAGCATTCGTACATGCTCAATTACGTACCTATAAAAAATTAAATATCCTCTCGACTACAATCCTAGTGTGGTAGTCACAGACATTTATCGACTCAATAAAAATGTTTAAGATGCCAAATCATATCAAGTTAATCTATCAAATTGTATATTAGAAAAATAGATTTTAGACTAGATCCAGTTCATCGTTAGAACAAGAAAAATGTGTCCATTCTAAACATCAGATTAACCAAACGCTGCAAATCCTATTAATATCATAAATACGAAAGTTTGTAACGGTCGATGGATTTAAGTCTATTACTGTTTAACGCAGAAACTACTGAACGGATTTGAATGACATTTGATACACGTATAGGTTATATTCTAATTTAGCGCATAGAATACCTTATGTACTGATTCACGCGGGTAAAGCTGCAAGACACAGCCAATCTTAGTTAATCCGAAAAATTAGTCTACCGCTTCACTTATTTCTGAATAATTTCATCACGCATTTAAAGGTAGCAAGAATTTTCCCATGGGACCTGCATGAGCTTCATTGGAAACAGCGATGGATTTACGTGGCGTAAATTCGTGCAATTTAAAGGAGATTTCAAAAAGTTTGTATGCCCAATGTAGAGAATTATGACGAAATTAAGTTTAATTAATAAATCGATCATGGTTTCGTTGGCAAAAAATGGTAAATTCTAAGTTGAAAAATCACTTTCCAAAAATAAACAAAGATATTAAAATAAACAGTTATAATATTTTTAAAAGACACCGAGTTGTGCCAATGAATTGTGATTCGCTCATTTGATTTATTCACTATTACTTATTAAATGAGTTAATCTCATTACCTAAATTAGTTTACATAAGGAAAACATTGGATGGAATTCCCACAAAAACACAATCAAGTAGGTATATAAATGTGAACAAAATATGTATATACTTAGGTATATAAATGTAAACAAAATATGTATATAATTTATTTAGCATATTATACCTATTTAAAAACGTAAACGTTAAATCAAGCTATCTTAGGGGAAGTATTTCGCCTCTTTTTGTTTCTAGCTAAAATCTTGAAAAAACTCACGACAAATAAATGAAATATAAATAGGTCTTATATATTAATAACTTTTACCCGCGACTTTGTCCAAGTGACCGGATATGTTTACTAATCAGGATAAAAAATTAACTTATAACCTTCTCCATCCCATATAGTAATTGTATATTTTATAGTGATTGGTTAAACAAACAAACTCTAACATTTATAATATTAGTAAGAATGAATACACAATGTTTTGTAACATATCGTAATTAACGATTTCATATAACATATCACTGGAACGCCTTTGATGTATCCCGGACAGAGAATTTTCATCCCGTCCTTATCCACTGGTTATAATTACCACAGATTTATTTATTTGTATACGAAGCAAAGCAACAGCACATGTTTTGTCATGTCGTAGTATTTTACATGTCTACATCCAACGATTACCACATTCCATGGACTCGCTATATTTTTCTTTTCTCAGCCATTTAAGACAAAAGTTTGTAACATAAACTATATAGATATCATATTATATTTTACAAACTTTAATTAATAAAATATGCCTATACTATGATAGAAAATAATCAATAGTTTCTCTACAATATTATATACCTACTAATATCTAACAAATTGAATGTACAATATGTTTGGTTTTAAATATTAGTATAGTCTAGTTCTACCAAATATTTTTTTAAAAAACTGTATATTAAAAATTTTAAATTTTCCGCGCATTGTAGCATGATTCGGATGATAATTGTCATTTTGGCATTCTCAACTATAAATATAATAAAATCAACTATAAAAAAATAACTGAATTGTATGAAAGTTTGGAGCCAAAATCAATATACAAATTACTGTTGGTCTTGAAGTAGCTTTGATTTGGCAGTAAAATTACAGGATATGGAGACACAATACCATAGTCCTCAGAATAAACAACACGAGGAGTATTATGAGTATTCTGCGATGTTCATTTCAAAGTGCTCTCCATGTCTGTAGATGACGTTACCGCCGCCATCATACCGCATCATGCTATAACGCACAAAGTATATTATTGTAAAATGATGCAACTGTATTATTTATACACACACTAGCACATTTAACATGGAGCGAAAGGGATTATTAACGATGGGATCTAACAACGCCATTGCTAACAGTCTTAGTAATCAGGTCAACCTCCATACAGTTCCCCCTGGAAACCATCGTGGTTACTTCTCGTGGAATTCTTTACGATGGGCTGACTGACCTGCTTTCAGCCTCATCCATCGTCTCCCACTGGTGTCCCGCCAGCGGTTACTGATAGCACAGGCGGGTTTACTATTTCATTATCAATCATTAAAAAAAAACACATTTAACAAAAATCTAATATGAAAACTCTAACACTTTTTTAAAAGTCTGGCCAGAATTTGTCTTTGTTTGAAAATAGAAAATTAACCGATATATTTTAACTGTGTAATTTTCTACAAATACACATTTAATGTATTTAAGAATATATGTTATTGTGAAATTGATTTGCACTAGGACCATACTGATCACAATTTACTGTAGTTTAGACGGCGCCGAATTTTATGGTGATGAAGAGGAAATAAGATATGAAATTATGTACTTCAAGAGAGAGAATATGCTTTTTTTTTGACAATTAGCTGGCAAAAAAAAAGATCCGTTTTTGTGAGTCGAGGCTCTATGTATAAAATCTACTATAACTCTACATATATGTTTATTTGTATTCTCTATTACTGACTCTCCTCAAACCGCGGAACACATAAGCTAAGACAAAATCTACAACAGAGTTAGGCAGAAGGAAGCACAAATTATCCCAATGCATCGAATTTAAAGTGTGATATGACCACATATGCGAATGTCTATTTGTGATAGTTTAAAGGTTATCTATGTATAAATCTTAGGTTATACAGATAGAGCATTGAGTCTCAAAAACAGGTTAACTTTTTGTCAGCTAATTGGCAAATTAGCTGCCCCGTTTTTTATCATGTTCTATATAGTTAAGCATCTAAATTTAATGAAATAAAATGAGTTTTAAGCATTAAAAAGATACAGAATTTATAAAACAAAATAAATAGAGAAAAGTTATAATGGAAATATTCGTAACTATTTATTACGCAAAATTGTATAAAAAGGTTACCTGCTTTTCTCGACACATTTGTATGGAAACTCTATCTATATAATCTAAGGTATAAATATATGTATTTGAAAAAAAAAGATATTTATTTTAAATGAATTGTATGCATAATACAAGTTCTGCTAATTTTGGAACTAGATAGCATTATGTAATATATCTTGTGGTATTTTATGTTAAAAAGACCTACTTTGACTTTTTTCTTTACACATGAATGCTAACTTTAAATCATATGGATGCAATTTATTATTATTGGGATAAAAAGTAAAGAATTATATTTTGTTCAAATTAGTATATGCAGTGACATACGATATTAATTTATGCTAGCGAGATACCAGATAGAGATGATAGAGAAAGATAAAATCAGGTCTGCTGGCGCATCTTTAGCATGAAATAAACACAATGATTTTGTTAAATAACCGCGTGGAGATCGAACTGTTCGTCTAATACAACATCATCAGTAGTATACCGTGACGAATGGAAACTATTGAAGATACGAAGTACACGCATTATAAATATTATTAAATTATAATTCATACTAAACTACAGTTCTCTTATATCACGAAATTTAAGAAACGTATTTTAATATTAACCTAAATTCAATATTTCGATTTGTTCTTTATTATATTCTTAATCATTTGTTTCGTTAAATGCGCTAATGTGTCTATGGTTATAAAATAATATAAACGATGTATGTCTTACATTTGCAGGGTCTCCGATGTCAGGCGATTTGGGAATTTCGTTGTTTCTGAAATGAGAACAAAAAAAATATATTAAAATTCAGCTAATATGTAAAGACCGATTCATACCAACGCTTTTGCAATTTGTAAATTGAATATCGTTTTTTTATTTTCATATACTCATTTTATTAGAAACCATATATTAATATAGTTCTAATAACAAGCTATATCCTACTACTTCATTCGATGTAGTTTGGAAGTGTCCTAGCTATTCACGATAAAATAATAAACATCCAAATATCTTTACAAACTTTCGCCCTTATCATATTAATAGAACATCATTATGTTTAGTGCTCTTAATGAATCGGTCCATTATGCAAAATATGAAGGTCAGAGCTTAACAAACCGAAGTCTAGTGATAACATTCCTGGAATTTAACATTTTATTTTCAATAAACGTCTTAAAGACCTTTAAAAGACAGCCCTCAGTCAGCTTAATGCCTCCTTTCAACTACATTATAGGCTATTATGGCATAATATATTAAAATGTACAATAATCAATTTAAAAAGTTTTGATGAATAAATTCTTGTTTTATACTTATAACATTATCAAAACCATAATAACGACCTCATTTAGTGAACATTATAGCGCAGTTAAAAATATATCCTCACGACTGCGTACAATGAAATCATGCAGAAAAATAATATTTGGATCATAAAAAAAATTAATCTCCAATAATAAGCAATTACTATGGTATATTTTTTTTAATAATAATGTATACTAATAACGGCACATTATATATTATAGCAAATCGAGTGTAGCCTTATTTCCGACTTACAATAATGTAATTTGTCGGCTCGTTAGAGAAAACGGCACAAAAGCAGTTGACGACTAAACATTCATTGCAAATCGCCTGCTCGCTCTGCCGATGAAAGTGCACGGTAAGAAAATTATTGTAGTTTGATGTGCGCAAAGCATGCACCGCGCAGTGGACTGTGTTAACAATACATACGAGTATACATAGATACATCTATGTTATACTTACTCATCTATTTTGATTTTAAAAACTGACGTAATCTAACATATGGCTTATAAAATTATGACTCATCACAATCCTATTTGTATATATACACACCTAATATACTGCGCCTGGTCCCGCATCTTGTCCGGAGTCGGTTGTTGTGGATACTTGACGGCTGAAGGAAAAGCTGATGCAGCATCTATCTGCTCCATCCTGAAAGTAATAATAATAAAAAATAAATTCACTAATTTAATATGAGGGAATCATTAACATCATATTATGATACATTATATTATACATACGTTTTCTGTGGCCGCAAGTCTGAAGAGCAAAGATTGCGTAAATAATCGTCGCATTCGCGTTGTTTTTGAATCTGGTATTCTTTCAACAACTCTCTTCTGAAGTCTCCGTCGGTACCAGGTACCAGAGGCGCTTCAGGCTGCTGCGGCGTACGCTCGGCGAGTGACGAGCGTTCAGTCGACGCTGCCGTCGTCGACAAAGACGTAGACGCCGAGTACTCCTGACCTCTATGCTCTGGAGTGGTCGCGTTCGAAGCACCGATGCTACTCGTCTCATTTGTCTTAGTTGATGCAGTAAATTCACCTAGTGCTTTTGTTTGCTCATCAATCGGCTTTAATGATTCGTTTAACCCGTTAAAAATACTCTCGCCATTTTTATTATCAAACAGTCTATCCACAGAAGTATTCATCAACTTGCTACCTTTTATACCAGTTAAATGAAATCCAGCGAAACATGAAGAAGAAGGGCCATAATCAATTGCAGACAAAGCCATAACTGCTGGATGTCTCGGAGCGCCGTCCGGAAGTGGTCTCAAAGACCTAGTCATTGCATCAGCGGCCGATCGGGGACGCCTAAACGGCATGGCTAGATGGGGGAATGTGCGGGGCTTTATTGGCGTAACAAGCATATGCTCTGTCCAAGAAGTATGCAATGATGGACGTTCCAATTTCTCAACATCTACATTTAACATCCTCTGCTCGAATGGTACACTAAACGTTTCAGCTGGGATAGACTGCAGCCAAGAAAGTAAACTTAAGTCGGATTCATCAAATCCTGAACCATCTAGTAATCTTGAAAAATTAACTTCATTGGATTGTGTATCTGATCCAGTAGCTTTAGCTTGGCAATAATTAACGCATGACTCGTATAATATACCCTTTATAAGTAATTGCATCAACCGGTCATTCTTAGCACATTTCGATACCGTACCACTGGATTTTTTATCGCAAGGCAAAAATTGTTCAACAAGCGGATACACTTCCCGAAAGCACTGGACACGGGCATTACTAGGATTCCATTTCTTAAATTGGGCATGATCTGTGATGCTTGGCAGTGTTAAAAGCAAACAAAGATTTGAGTATTCTTCTTTAGACGGCGCTAACTTCTCAAGATCGCTAAGTACTTTCACGACTTCATCTACTATATTTTCTACGTTATTATAAGCTTTAATTTCAGATCTAATACATAATAATTCTATATATTTGTGTCTAAGAATGGCGTAGTTAAATTTGTCAGCTTCAAATGCTTTGAGAGCGCTAAGGGGTTGAATAAACTCCAGGACGTCGTCCCATTGGCCATCAAGAATAAGTTGCCGTAGAAAAAGTACATCGTCCGCGTAGTTGCCGTTGATTACTCCAGTTTCACGCTCGAGTGACAACTGCGTTATATGCAGGTCGCGGTTGTGAAGAAACTCCAGGGACAAACGCACCACATCGTCCTCACGTAGATTTAGGTGGGTAGACGGCATATTGATGCTTACTTTTTACTATCTATAACAAAAACAATATAACACAGTTAGTGACCTATCACTTTTATACAAGAATATTTCTTTTAGGCATTATGAAACAGTTACACAAAAACCAGTGCATATAAATTAATAGAAACAAAACATATTTTTAGTGAAAGGTACAATCGCTTGGCCAAAACGCCTTGCTTATTCTATCCGTAGATGAAATAGTACTTATAACAAGTGTTATTAATTTTAAATAAATAGATCGACATGGGGAAAATTGATATCAAATAGCAGATTTAAGTTTTTCTGAGCAACGATGTTTCAATTATAGCATGACATAGAATACATATCTGTCACGCCTGTCTCCCATTAGGGTAGGCAGAAACAATGGAACGCCAAATGCTTCGATTCAAACAAACCTCTTTCGCTTCTTCCACATTCATCAATCTTGTCATACACGCTCGTCGGTTACGGGTACTTTTAATTTGGCCCTTCTTCAGCACATCGCCTATTTGGTCGACATACGTCCGTCTAGGGCGGCCCCTACCGACATCTCCATTCATTCTTGCTCGATAAATCTCTTTCGTAATTCTTCTTTCATCCATCCTCTCCAAATGACCAAACCAACGCAACATTCCTTTTTCAATTTTTGTCACTACATCGTCTTTCAGTCCACACTTCTCTCTAACCACACTGTTTCTTACTCTATCTTTTAAAGTAATACCACACATACTTCTCAAAGCTCTCATCTGTACAGCATTTATCTTACTTTCATGCTTCTTCTGCCATACCCACGATTCGCTTCCATACATGAGTGTTGGTGTCAGTACTCCTTGAATTATAGCAAGGCGAGCTTTGCTCGATACATTTTTACTTGACATAATCGAGAGCAGTGCACCGTTAACACTGTTTCCCGCTTTTACTCTCCTCTCAATATCTCTATCACACTTCCCATCCCTCGTAAACAAAGAACCTAAATATAGAAACTCACTCACTTGCTCCACTTTTTCATCTCCTATCATAATCTGGCATGCCGTTAAACTTTCATTCCTCTCAAAAACCATTACCTTCGTCTTCTTCGCATTTATTTTCATACCTTTTCTTGCATACGCTTCATTCATTATAGTCACCATTTGTTGTAATTCATACTCCGACGATGCAAAAAGTACTTGGTCGTCGGCGTATAAAAGAGTCTTAAACAGAGACTCATTCATCCTGAATCCACAATTAGATCCTTTCAAATCGGTCAAGCAACTGTCCATAAATAGGTTGAACAGCCAAGGAGACGCTACACAGCCCTGTCTAACACCGCGTTCAATGCCAAACCAGTCTGTATAGACTCCATTTATTCTGACACAGGCATTTGAATCCTTATATAAAGATTTGAATGCCCGTATCAAATGGTTGCTCACCCCATACATTGCCAGTGTTGACCACAGTTCATTCCTCTCCACTCTATCATAAGCCTTTTCAAGGTCAATGAAGGCGCAAAAAACCTTCTGATGTTGAGCTAAGGTTTTCTCTGTTATCCACCTTAAGGAAAAGACTTGATCCGTACATCCCATACCCTTTCGAAACCCTGCTTGCACATCCCAAATTTTACTTTCCGTCTCATTCATCACTCTTTTAATCAAAATCCTAGCATACAATTTGCCTACAACACTAAGAAGGCTTATTCCGCGGAAATTTTTGCACTCCTGCTGTGACCCGCTGCCTTTATATAGTGGCACAATAACAGCTTTGCTCCAGTCACCTGGAACACAACCGGACCGCCAACATTTATTGAACAGCAGACACAGAAGGTTTACAATGATTTCTCCACCTTCTTTAAGCATTTCGGCAGATATTCTATCGAATCCCGCTGCTTTACCAAATTTCATAATCTTCATTGCATTCATTACTTCATCCATACTTATATCACTTTCACTGTCAACTTCTTCGTCCATTATTTCATTTTCAACATTCTTTCTTTCACTTCCACGTTCAAATAAACTTTCAAAATATCTCTTCCAATGATCTAAGACTTCCTTTTGTTCCGTGATAACATTACCATCCATATCCCTTATCACGCCCATTTTCGGATCTCTCTTTTTACCTCTAGCTGTTCGAACTAAATGCCAGAAAAGCTTTTGATTAGCTCGAAAATTTCTAGAGAATTTCCTTTCATACTCATCCTTACATTCCTCTTTCTTTTTGCTTACTAATTCTTTAACTTTCTTTTTCATTACATCATACTTCTCTTTTGCAATTTTTTCAATGTCACTTACATTACCTTGCATTCTCTTATTAGCTCTGGTAGCTAACAAATCCATCCATGCCTTTTTCTTTAGAGCCACCATTTCTTTCACTTCGCCATCCCACCATACATTCATTCTCATCTTAACATCCTTCCTCTTACTTACACCACAAACTTGAGTAGCTATATCAAAGATTCCGCATTTAAATTCCTTCCAAAATTCTTCTATCTCATAGTTATCTTTCTTCAGTAGCTCTCTAAATCTTTCATTCAATCTTTCTTGATACTGATTTCGAACCTGTTCTTCTGTCAGTCTCTCTACTCTTACTCTTTCTATTTCTGACATACGAACACGTGGACGATGTCGCCATTTATTGAATAAGCCACCTATTCTCGATATCACCAAAAAGTGATCGGTTCCGACATTCGTACCACGATAGACTCTTGTATCCTTCACTTTCGCTCTCAATCGTTCATCCACAACTACAAAATCAATCATACTTCTCTCAGTTTGCCTTTGCCATGTATACATATGAATCAGTTTGTGACTAAACAAAGTATTAGTCACCACCAGATTTCTCTCCAGGCATACTTCTAATAAACTTTCACCATTTTCATTCACTCTTTTATCTCCAAACATTCCTAAATTCCTTTCATATCCATCGCGACGGATTCCCACCCAGCCATTAAAATCACCTATCAAAATAATTCTTTCATTCTCCTTACATTTAGTCATAATCTCTCTTACACTATCCCAGAAATCCTCTCTGACCTTTGGTGGCTTGGACATATCTGGGGCATAAGCGCAAAGGAGAAAAATACGGGTCAAACCAACTTTCAGTCGTATCCAGAGGAGTCTAGGACTTACAAATTCAAATTCTTTAACAGATGCATTCATTCTCTCTGACAAAATAACTCCCACTCCTTGGCTGCTTCTTTCAGAGTCATTAACTCCAGACCAGTACCCAGTATATCGGTCATAAGTAGTAATAGAGCAGCCTTTCTTTTTTGTTTCACTTACTCCTAATACATCAATTCTTCTTTCACTCATCATCTCACATACTTCGTCTATTTTACTATCCATACCTCCACAAACATTCATCGTTGCAATTTGGCATTCCTTTGCCCTCTTTTTGCCATTTGGGGAAACAGGGGAGACATGACGTGACCCGTGGCATAACGCATCGCCGTCGATGAGAAATTTGTCCCCCCCAGATACGATGGGACTGCCTGAGTTGCACTCAGGGACGGATTCTCCGGCAGTGCCGGTACCCTCCTGGGGTAGTTGCGTTTTAATTTCTCTTATCATTTTGAAAAAGAACTGCTCTTCTTAACATCGGATAGGGAAAGGAAATAGGTTACATTGGGAAAGGAATAGGTTATAAGGAAAGGAGGTGATAAGTGGAAAGGAACTATAGGAAAAATGGGGGATACTACAGCTACGGAGAGGACATAGGTTTTGTAACTGTAGTAGCTATGGAGGCCGGGGATAACACTTGTGTAAAAAATGTTGTACGCATGACTGCATGGCGTGCTCTTACCAACATACATGACATCACACACATTCATCAACAAAATAATGAAAACGAGGCACAAAGGTGTAATAATGCCGTAGGGCATGGCCCCTCATAAACAGTTCTCATCTTGTCTTTTCAAGAATTTACATATTTTCATGACCCTGAGTGTGAAGAAAATGTGTATTCAATTATAATTAACGTTTCTAATTATAATACATTAAAACGTTAACCTCACATTAATACTTTGTAAATATCTTCCATGTGCAAACATCGTCTAATTACAACTTTATTACATTAATAATATAAGATTATTTATTGTAATAATTTAATAAATATTTATTTTTGATTAGACACTGGGCATGTGTCTAATGTTTATATTATACAATAATTATGTAGTTCTTGGAATATTCTCAATTACTACTACTTTAGCATGTATTCCAATATAATAAATCATTTTGGGATAAATGTTAAAATTGAAGACAAAATAAATAACGACATTCAAATTTAAACTACCAAAGGACTTTTCCAAAAAAAGACACTTGGAAATATCTATTTCCATTCATAAAATATTGATATTTTATAATGACCTTTTTATACAAGGGTTGTAGTCCTACCTCTTAGTAAATGGTTACAACGACTAGTTAAACATAATAGTAATTTATCAAAATTTGGTAAAAATGATTAATCATTTACAAAATAAGTAATAATATTTTACCTTCACTATCCAGAAAAAAATCCTTAAAAGGAGTAAACTAAAACCTTTAAAAAATTAATAAGAAATAAATTAGATTAAACTAATAATGTGATAGTAGACAGTGATTCTAAAAATTTAATCTTCTGAATTTAACCCTAATATTTCAATATTAGGGTATTGACAATTATATTTTAATGTATGATAGGCTTAATTATAATATTTTAGTCTTCTTCTAAATTAGTAAATTTAAGTGTTAAAAGAGTCTCACATTTCTGAGTCTGTGCCAATGTCTATTTTATATAACTTTAAGAGTGATATCATGAAAAATTAATGAACACTTTAAATTCGCATAGCAATGTACAAATTTATTACATAATAAACAGGATATTATAATAATGTAATAGCATTAAGAGAATTTGTGTGAGCATTCATAAATAATTAGTAAAACTTGAAAGTAAGTTTTACTGAAAATGAAACACATAAATATGGAAAACTGCTGTGCATTGACCTTTCCCCATAAAAGGATATTAGCCCACTATTACCACACTAACCAGGTAAGTTGATATAGGCTGATTGTATAGACTGTATATTCTCCACTATCCTATTTGGCTCCTAGGACTTCCTAGGTATGACAAGAAATAATAATACACTGTATTTTTACACCACTGATAATCACATTGTGAAATTAAGTATTTATACTATAAAAAGTGTCTAGTAAAACCATCATATGTGGTTAAATAAATTCAATGATTGCTTTCCAATGCATGTCCTTATTTCAAGTCCTTTCACTGGTCCTAATATTTATATGGCAACCATTAACATTAGAATTCAAAGCAATGAATAAGTGAAAATTTTATATCACTTACAAATATGGAAAGTTTCATGTTAAATATATTTCTAAACAATGTAACACTAATGCTATTATTAGTCTAAGCTAAAATAAACATATACATTTTCTGAAAATTAAGCACTAGTTATTGCATAATAACACTTGTGAGTATTACACAGTATGACATTATGAATAATTATAATATATTTTTATTCTTCATGTAGTAATTAAGCAAGAATATAATATCATCACTACTTTACATCCAGAGGATGTAAAAGTAAATCAAATAAACTCTGAACAATACACAAGAATGTAAACTAAAAATAAAAGATGAGTTCTATTGATTGACACAGGACCATTCCACATGGTCCTTGTGGCAATAATAAATTAATATCCTACACTCAGAGAAAGGGATGTGTGACTAGTGGGAGGATGTTAATGGATTGTTAATATAGATATATTTTGATAGGACCTGTTGGCCGTGCCCACCCCAAAACCATCTAGTATCCAACATAGGATGTGTGTGAAGTATGTGTGATATGGTACTAAAAGATAGGAGTTAGAAATAGTGTGATCACAGAGAAGTGTGGCCTAAAAGATGATGTACTGACAAAGATTGAAAAGGGAATGCATTGGTTTGGCCATTTGGAAAGGATGGATGAAAGAATATTTACAAAAATGATTTATTGAACATGAATGAATGGAAATAATAGAGTGGCCCTAATCAATCAGGTATATGTCAACCAAATAGGTGACATACTGAAGAAGAGCTGAATTAAAAGTAGACCTAACTGACAAGCATGTATGAACAGAAAGCAAAAGAATTATTTTTGATTCACAGCATTTGTTATTCCATTGTTTCTGCTTACTCCTATAAGAGACAGGCATGATGGATATGTATGTATGCTAATACCAATTGACAAGTTATTTTAAGATGCAAAATCTTCAAGATGCTCAGTGAGCTATAGAGAGGGCTATGTTAAAAGTCTCTTTCACATAAACTTTAACCAGCATAGTGCAAAGGACAAACAAGCTGAAGTGGCAATCAACTGGTTACATAGCTCGAAGAATTATTCCCATTTACCAATGGGAGAGAAACATTCTCGAGTGGATATCCCCTACAGCTAACGCAAATAAGAATGGCTCCGCACTAGCTAGCTATTCCACAATGGATAGATAATAGCTGATATAATGACACTAAAGTTATTTTAACAAGGTTTAATGTCATTATAGTTTATAACTTATATTGTTAAAATTACATCTTATATACTGTAGTAAACAGTGTGACAAAAAAGAAAATTTTCTTTCTTCTTGAATTTATATTTAAATTCATTAAATGTCTGAATAAAAATTAATAGTTTAAAAACATTTTAATTTAAACTATTAACTAATGCAACAAACATAGTTGCAAATACTAAATAAACATGAATATAACATGATTTTAAGTCAAAATAATAAAAAGCATATTAATCATATAAAATATCTTGTAGATACTTTACCTTGTTAGGTGTTAAAAGATTTATCACATTATATAAAACACAAAACACTTTTTCCAATAACTCAACAACACCATTCCATCAACAAAAATATGCATAAATTTCTCTATTAAGTAATAATAAAAAGTAAACATATGAATTAATTTATCATTAAATTATTTACAAAAAAAAAATTCAAAACTACAATAAAATTGATAAAGAGAAGTTTAGCTAACTAGTCTATTACTACTATTGTTAAATTAATACAGTAATTGTAAAATTTCAAATTTGATAAAATATTTTATGAATGTAGGTGTATTGGTTATGAATAATGAATCTATTTAAAGCCAATAAACATATGACTTTCACACAAACTATGTTTGTGTGCATAATTTATGCCTCTGGAAGGGGAAAGCATACTGTTAAGTACTTAGTGAAATTATTGGTGCATCTCTGACGCATCTCGCATAGCACACGGAGAAAATGTTTAGTTTTTAATTAAGTGCAATCTAGAATTCTTCAGTAAATTAATGAAATCATTGGATAAATAAATACACCACACAGCCATGTTACAAAAACAACTTCCACCTACACATGTCTCGAATACCATTTAAGCTTACATACCGGAGCAGGTTTTGATACAATTACAAAATAAATTTAATAAAAAAACAAAACCAGAATAGTTGACGGAATGTTTTACAGTTAGAAAAATATTCATTTAAAACTGAACGGAGTAAATTTGAATAATTAATATTATTTACCTGAATTTATTAGTATCACTCTTTATTCAGAACAACGTAAAAATAACGCTAGTCTAATATTTCACATTAAAACATTGTTTGATGTATCATTTGTGACGAATTTATTAAATATAAACCACATATTTTATTTCTACAAGCGAGAGTAAATCACAGACAGAGACTGACTAAAAACTAAAAAAATCTATGGCCGTCACTACTCACTCCTGCCTGTCATAGACGTACCTACTATAACGCAACAGATACAAACAAAAACAGATAAACTTTATAACGGTACCACCCAAAGTGCCACCTAAAAACAAGAAATAAACAACTTTGGGTACCACAATGTAAGGAGTCTACATACAATAATTTATCGGCCACAAAAATTAGTTTGTAATTACATTGATCGCAATGGATGACACTTTAATTAAAGTAATTGCGGAGTTTTTTGCAATTTATTCTAAGCACATATTTATATTCAGACTATATTAGAGTCGCGGATAATGGAATTAATTTATATTATTTATTTTCTTATTTATTAAAAGCTCTAAGAAAAAAGCCGCACACGGCCTTCCTATACGAATTATTGTACAATTAATTAAAAAATAAAATACTATTCACTTCTCAAATAATGTTCTTTGTAATAAAGTAATATCATAATTAAATATTTAAACACAGAACAATATTTCATAATTAGATGGTTTAATAAAAATGTAAGAAATAAAACGTAAATATATATTGCACTGAATCTTATTGCACTACAGAAAATAAAAATAATAATAAATCCTGAATTTATAAATAGATGCACATCCAACATGTGTAACGATTAAGTTTTATTCGTGTATAGACACGAATAAAACTTAATCGTTATCGTCTATTCATAGGAATAGAAAATTGAATACTTAAGTTAGCCTCGAATAAAACAGAATAAAAGGCGAAGAATTAGTTAAGATAAAAGTTAAAGACAAAATAGTATATTTACACAATGCCTGATATATCCTAGAGTCGTCAACTAATTTGATAACTGTAACACGATTTACTGAAAATAACTTATTTTTTTAAAGACAAAATTAGAAATAAAATTGGAAAACCAATTATTATAACAAGAAAAGAGGATAAAATATATTATGTGGATGCCAATTTACACACAAACAATAAAGTAAATCAAGCCTAAAAAGATGAATCAAAAATAGACATATATCATAAGAAACTAAAGCATTTAAATGAATGTTATTTAAAACAGGCCATGAAAAATATTATAGTATAAGAAATTTAATTTAATGCGAATGTTAAACTAAACGAATGTGCGAACTGTGTAAAAGGAAAAATGACGAATTTATCTTCTCTAAAGGAAAGATTTAAAGAAACAATGACTCCACAAAAATTATATACTGCACACTCAAATATGTGTGGCCCGACGCCAATAAATAGTAACAGATAAAACAGATACTGCGTCATCTTTACTGATGAATACAGAAGATACGGTATAGTCAATTTTCTGAAAAATAAAAATGTAGTTTTACAAAATTCATTAAATATAAAAAGAAAATACAAAGATATACAGAAAATAAACACATTGCAAATAAATAATGGAATGGAGTATATTAATATTGAATTTAATACACATCTAAAGAAAAGTGGCACAGCTCGATATATATCAGTTCCTTTTACGTTCCAACATGATTGATCAATTATTTTGGGCTGAAGCTATACATTCGACGAATTATATAACTAATAAGATACCATTCAATAAGTTGGTAGCACACGGTTAAATACGATAATATTCCATTAATACGGCATTTCAAATATTTTCGACTAATTAAAAGGCTTTGTATAATTGAAAGGAAATTTGAAAACGAATGACAGCCTAAAAAGGATTTTCTGTTGACTGCCCTGAAAACACAAAGGGTTAAATAATCCAGAATTGAAAAAAGTCGTAAGTTTCTACTTACGACTTTTTTTAAAATTGTTCGTCTCTATGTGAAATTCTTAAAAAAAATAAAACAGAGAAATAAAGACAAACGAAAAGGATGAAGGCATTAAATACTATATATAATTAAGTTTAGAACAAAGTTTGCAAAAAATACAATGACAATAGTTATACTACAAATGAAGAACCCATGATGCAAACGTAAAAAGAAGTTAATCTTACGATTAAAGAGCATAAAACATCAAATATGAAAGATCACATAGAGACAAAAAGAGAGAAAAACTAATATGGTGGAGACTAAAAAGAGTGATTACGTATTCTATGCTACAGAATATAAAATGATCCATAAAACAGTATGTATGTGACAGTAGTACGAGACGTGCGTATACCAAAGAAAAGTTGTTAGTCCGTTTGAACTTCCGGCGAGACTGAACGGCGTACGTTATCACCAGTTCTTGAAAAACGAGTTTCCGTTATTAATTTAAGATATGCCTCAAGAAGTGCTTGATACGATAAGGCTGCAGCATAATGAAACTCCTAGTAATTTGTCTCGCGTTGTGACGCAACATTTAAATGAAACAATTCCAAATCGATGGATCGGTAGGGGAGGTAAAGTGGCATGGTCTCCACGTTCACTTGATCTTAATTCGATCATCTATATTCTTTGGGGATATTTTAAAGAAGCTGTGTACGAAAAAGAATATAGAAATGAGTTAGAGCTTCGTCAATTATATGCTGTAGCAGACAGTGTACCTTTACGTAGGAATTTTATACGAAGTTATCGATTATGTATTAGAGTTGGTGAAAGATATTTTGAACATTTATTGTAAAAATAAAATAAAATTTAATTTAGTGTTACATTAATTAAATATGGGTAAATTACTTACCGTCATGTTTTCTCTCATTTCAGAAATATAATTTAATAGTGACGTTTGTATTTATTTTAAATCACAGTATTATACCTTTATAGATCGTCATGAATTGTAAAAGTTTTTATAATAATGTTCCAAACTTGTATAGTATATTTTTTAAGACAGGCTTTATTCAAACCTCAAAAGAAAATTATTCGAGTTAAAAATCTTTTAAAAAAGGTAATTTTTTTGAAGTAACGGTAGAAAAATTCTAAACAAACTTTTTCACTGGAAAGTCATACTATGTATTCTCCTTTGCATAAAAATAATTTTGTGGAATGCACAATTTTATTAAATATTTATAAAATATGTCATCTCAGTAAAAATATTTTATAACTATTGGTTTAATTAATTTATATATTTTTTTAAAAGTTGCGACCCCTTTCCCCCTATTACCAGAATCTGTTTGATTTCATACTTACAGTACACCTGTATAAGGGAAAATAAACGAATTTAATCATTGTTTAACTGTTAATCTAAATTATTAACTTATTGTCGACGCTCGTGACGTTATATTTCATCAATATTCTACCGAAAAATAAGAAACAATAAATTAATAATTTTACATGACTGTACAAGTATAGTTCTTTTGTCTAGAAAATAAAAAAAAAGAAAGTACAAGTAGCGCCACATGACAGAGTGGCGGTAAAAGAAATCTATCATTGAAACTGAAAAATCATATTAGAATTTTTTTAAAAACATTATTTTATTTAATAAAAATGGATGAGGACGGAGAAAATATATTACTTGAAGAAAATTACTATCAACTACTAAATGTTTCTAAAACGGTAAATATTAAGCCACTTGCTATTGTTACAAAATAATTTTATATTTTTGCTTTATCGTATTATATAACTATAAAAATATTTCTTATCTAAAATAATTGTACTGGTTGAAATGTATTAAGTTTTACGTCACTGGAGATGATGTGAAAAGTACTTAGAATCCGTATCTCTTGTAAAATGGTCTTTTAGTTATTTTAGGTTATGATACAGGCAGAAGTCACATGAATGCAAGATGCAGTGTTTTACACCACTGTGCTTTTAATAGTTATGCAGTCGTATTATAAATATAAATACAAATATAATGAATTAATTATCTCATTTATTTGACATAATTAAGATTTCATGTAATGAATTGTATCAGGATAGGACAATATTTGGTTGGCAAAATTTTTATGTTATTAATACCATAATAAATATTAATTAATACGTATTAGCATCCATGGTTTATAGGTAAGCCATCATTAAAACTTATATTAAGCAACATACAAGTTTTGAATTAATCTCGTTTGGATAGTCCTCTACAAATACTTCCATTTAATTTTAATATTTTAAGAAATTTACTCTGTATGCTGACAGAGTGAGAATGCAATGTATCTGTACTCTGTAGTACTTTTGTTATAATAAAAAGAAAATGAATGGTAACCCCCCCTGCACTTACTAGTGCAGTAGTAATAGTAAATCAATATTCATGCTTGCACAAATATGAATGAACACAGGTCAGGTTGTGCATTGTGCCGAATTAATCAGGAATTAACCATGACGGCTTTTATGGAGGATCTATAGAAATTGACTTACTATGATATATTGTTAGCTATGAGACTAATGTGTTAGATTGCTAATAGTTTCACTCTCGTCTCCTCTTTTTTAGTATCAACTGCAGGATGCTACTAAAATATGTCTAGGGGAACTATATAGTAATTTATTCTTTTATTTTCCAATTTATCAAGAGCATATCAATTTTAATCAATAAATCAGTTTTATTTATGTTGATTTATTAATATTATTGAATGTAAAATATTAACAGGCAACATCTGAGGAAATCAACAGTGCATATCGCAGGTTTTCACGCATGTTTCACCCTGATAAACATAGCACAGATCCTAATAAACAGAAATTGGCAGAGCAGATATTCAACAAGGTTAAAGAAGCCTATGAAGTGTTGTCAGATTCACACAAGAGGACCATATATGATACATTAGGTACAAATATTATAATTAAGCCATTTATTATTTTTTGTTATATGAGAATATTATTTATTTCAAGCAAGTAGTTATGCAGTGTAGGCAGAGAGAATTAAGTGCACTAAAATTACATAATATCTCTTGTTTCATCAGATATAACTTGCACTTACACTATGTCCATACAGTCTTAACTCTGCTGGCAATTACATATGGTTTATTTGATTATTATAGTTTAGTTTACATTTTCATCCTTCTGCTTTTGCATTGTATATATTGTTATTTTTCATCATAAATACTCTTTGCATGTTTGAAGTAACATAGCATAGCTTTTCTTTCCTTTTTATAAGACTTAAATCACTTTATTCACACTATCTCATTCTAAAATGCAATTTTATTACCAGCATTGGGTGAAATAACAAAGGAATTATAATAAGTTGCAATTTTTTGGTTGGTATATTTCCAATCTTTACTGAAACCAAATTCAACATACTATCATCATCATATCAGCCATTAACAGTCCACTGTTGGACATAAGCTTCTTAATGGTTTTGCCAATAATTACCACATTAGTCAGACGGATTGGCAACTGCAGTTAGGTTTTGGAGATGTTTTAAGAGGCACACTGCTGCCCATTCCCTGCCCTCTCTTAGTCGCTTCTTACAACACCCACAGGAAAGGAAGGGAATCCACTATTCTATACCGGGATCTACAAGACAAGCTCATTACCAGGCATAATTCTTGCAGTAGTCCTAGAATTGTCCTGATATTTTTAATAGATTTTAATCATGTGCCAATTACTGTGGAAATGTCTTTATGACAGGCTTACTTATTATTAATTTCATAACCACACTTTAAAAGATTTGATTTTTTATTAATTGTTACTCTTGAATCTTAAATTTTTAACAGAAATGTTTTTATTTTTTGCAAAATTTACATTATAACATTTGCATAATGTAAATTTACTTGCATTATTATACAATTATTATTTTAATGCCGCATCATCTTCCTTCCTTTGTTCCATATCTATCGTTTCTCCTCTTTCTGGCCTTGTCATCTTTTATATAGTTCATCCACCTTATTCTAATTCTATTTTAATACTATCTTTACTAAATTTTTTTCAACAGTAAAAATTTTTTGTAAACACTAATAATAAACATTTTGTGTATAATATATTGACTATTTTTTGTACTATACAGGTAAACGTGGTTTAGAAGTCGATGGTTGGGAAGTAATATTTCGTACTCGTACACCTAAGGAAATCAGAGAGGAATATGAACGGTATGTTTCAGATATTTACTTATTTAAAATTGAATTCTTTTAACTTAATTAATTTATTTTATTATTTTGACTGGCAGACTAAAGCGTGAAAGAGAGGAACGAAGGCTACAACAAAGCGCCAATCCTCGTGGTACAATCACACTTTCCATTAATGCCACTGATATGTTTATGAAGTATTATGATGAATATGAAATTTTGTAAGTATATTTTGTGTCTTTTGAACTATTCTTATTCAACTGTTGATACAATGTGTATGTATAATGTCCTTCCTTACATCTTTTTATTGAAATTATATTAAATAAATGATTATTGTTACAATTTTATATTAATGTACTTGTTAATGTATATTGTTATGTAATAATGTAATAAATATAATATGTAATATGTAATAAATAATGTTATAACCTCTCTGTGGATCAATTTTTAATCAGATCTAATGACAATAGTAAAGAACATTACATACACATTGTTTATCTTATTTTTCAATTAAGTTAAATATGTATCCATTTATTATTATAGAGAAGAAGATGCTACAGTAATACCTAACATTGAAGTATCTGGTATGACTATACAGCAATCAATAGATGCACCAGTTACACTGAGAAATACCATGACTTTATCAGGAAACATATCTACACAAAATGGTATAGGTAAGTTATTAGAGAGTTTTTCGACATAAAATCCTAAGAAATCTTATAATTTTATGTCAGAAAACTGTAACACATTAAAAAAATAAAATTATCAATTTTCATCCCATATTCTTAATATTAAGCAGAGATATCTGTATTTTTGCTCTTGTTTCATGAACTTTCTCTTTTTTAAATTATGTAAATTTTGTATTGATTTTTAAATGCTGGTTAAAAACTTGATGAATAATGATTTCCAGCATAATACAAATATGTTTGTCCAAAGACAAAACTACTATCAACATCATTAATTTATTATTATTGCTTATATTCATTACTTATAATTATTACTCCTAATGAAATAAGAAATATGGCTGATAAGTAAATGAAAACATGTTTATAATAAATAAACGTTTTTAGTTGAGGTAGGTTGCTATGTTTTCCTTTTGGTAAGGAAAAGCTATTTAAGCTAAGCTTTATGCAAGGCCTTTTAATGGGTAAGCAGAATTTAATAGTATTAATTACTTAAATATTTGCTTGTTTACAGGAACAGGTTCAGTGACTGCTTGTAACCGACATCTAAGTTCAGATAAGGGTTGGACTGAAGTAGAGTTTGGAATTGGCAATGGCCCTCTTCTGGGATTTAAAATATTCCGAACATTGTCAAGATTAATGTTTTTAAATTGTGGAACAGTACTTCAATTTACGCCTCGTGGGATTTCACCTAGTCTTATTTCAAGCAAGTTATATAATTGTTTTTTAATTTTTTTTTCTAATTTAATGAATACTTTGAGGAGATTGAGTATTAAGTATTTAAATTTGTGTTTCTACCGTGAAACAATATGTTTTTTTTCATGGATGACAATGGAATGATAACCCCGCCTGCGCTAACGGTATACGCTGACGGGGCACCAGTGAGGGATGATAGGTGAGGATGAAAAGGCAGGTTAGTTAGCCCACGTGATGAATACATTTGGAATTCAGCACAATGGTTTCCAGGAGGGACCGCGTGGAGGTCGACCTGTTAGGGTATATTGTTAGCAATGGGACTGATAATCCGCATTACTAATAATCCCTTCCCCCCAAGCAGTATGTTTGCATTGCTGTGTGTGAATTTACAAGGTACAAAGGAATAACACCTGAGTCCTCAGGAATGGCAACACATGGGAGTATCATGGGTGAAACAGTATACTCTGTTATGTCCATGGTACTATTCATGTCTTTAGGCGACGGTTGCCATTTTCAGGTTGGCCGTCAGCTTGTTCGCCATTCTAAGTTGCATACAAAAATGGATAATTTTGTTTATAGCTATGGCATTACAGTTGGATGCACATTCCGTTGGATACCTTACTTACCGAGCTGGTGGTCAAGGTGGGTCCTCGATGACGTCTATATATGTGCGGGATTCCGAAAAATACCATACCAATACAGCCATACAAATTGGGAACCCACATTCATTCATATCTCTGAATATTATGAGGAAGCTACCGCAACATGATATGAAATTGCGATTAGCATTGAAGTAAGTGTGATTTTTTATATTGTTTTAGTTTTTAGCTTTAATATGTATTAAAAATATTAATTGTATCTATCTATCTATCCTATTAAAGAGCTGCGCAATATATTTAATACATATATATATATATATATATATATATATATATATATATATATATATATATATATATATATATATATATATATATATATATATATATATATATATATATATATATATATATATATATATATATATATATATATATATATATATATATATATATATATATATATATATATATATATATATATATATATATATATATATATATATATATATATATATATATATATATATATTATATATATATATATATATATTTTTTTTTTTTTGTTTTTATGTTCACTTAGTATTGCGAACGCACATAGGTTTATGTTAATGGTAAATATATTGTTACACAATATTTTTACCCTTAATATTAAACTAGATATCATTTAATTTATTTGTTTGAATGTAAATTTAAAGAGCAATTGTTTATTTTTAATCATATGTAATTTATGCAAAGCGAATACTTGTATGGCATGAAAAAGTATACAAAGCGAATACTGTTTTATTTGCTTGAATCTGTTGATGTCTCAAATCTATGTTATTGTGAGTGTGTGAATGGTCAAGTTTGTTTGTATATATACATACACATACGGTATTTTAATTGACGTAACATATTCCTTAAAACTGTTGTTAGTATTCCACAAGTCTCAAAAACATTTTTTTATCTTAATGATATTTTTGTGTTACCAAAAACTAAAGAAAATTTTTTTTATAAAAACAAACCATCAAGTGTAGGTTGACTCACTCACCGATAGTTCCGTTTATAACATCTCTCTAAAAAGTTTTGTTTTCTTACATAAAAATTATATTTGAATAACTTATTTTTAGCCGTTGCCGCTTTAGCCTTTCTATATTCTTTCAGCACTGAGTAAAATCTTTGAAAAATCATATTGAATCAACTGGTTAATAATTTGAAATGAAACGAATTAATTCATAATAGTCAATTTGGTTTTTCTAAAAGATGATACGAGTAAATAACGAATGCAGGTGCGGAGTTACTAAGACACATTTTTGCTGCCTGGAAAAATAAAATGAAAGCGATTGAATTTTTTTGTGATCTATCCTTGTGGCCTTCGATTGTGTAGATCATTACTAAAAAGATAGCTTTTAATGGTGTCAAAGACAATAGTTTAAACTTAATCAAATCATATATATTAAACAAAGTCCAAAAAGTTTAAGTAAATAGTTACGTCTAACGGTTCGCTTGTGCCAATAGGCGTAGCTCAAGGGTCTCTACTAGGACCACTCCTATTAATGATCTCGCTTTTGTCATGCAGGGTAGATGTGGCATGCTATTGTTCGCAGATGATACTTCTTTGATTTCTAAAGTTGTCAGATTGACCAAAAATTATGACAATGTAAATAGTGCTTTGCTGCGTTTCTTGCATTGGTTTACAATTAATAACTTAAAATTGAATGCTCAAATTTATCTCTTTTTAAAAATCATAATTTCAATTCTTCTGAAAAATTAAATAACGAACTTCTTGATTTTATATATTCTTGGAATCACTCGTGATAATAAAACTTAGCGGGTTCCTCACATTCAAATCATTGCAACTAAATAAAACGTATGTTATCCGTAGAGTTAAATAGTATATTAATATTGAGGCTCTCAGATTACTTAATTTTAATTACTTTCATAGTATATTGTCCTGTGGAATATTATTATGGGGTAAAGCAGCCGATATCCAAAGCAAATTTCTATTACCAAAACATGCTATTTTTTTTATACTACTTAGAATGGAAAACAAACTGACGGCCCACCTGATGGAAAGTGGTACTCGTCGCCTATAGACATGAGCAATACTATGGACATAACAGAGTATACTGTTTCGCCCATTATACCACCCATGCGTTGCCATTCCTGAGGACTCTGGTGTTAATCCTCTGTACCCTGTAAATTCACGCCATATCCTACCCTTCAAACCGAAACACAGCTATGCAAACACAACTGCTTTACGGTTGAAACACGAATGGCACAGAGGTACCCAAGCAAACGACTTTTGTACAAAGTCTCCCTCTGGCAAATTGCTGCTATTCTCGCGATTTGTTTTATGGAAAGTCGTAAATCCCTAAGAAAGAAATTTAAATAAGCAAATATTTTCTAAGAATATATTCTCACTGTAGCTTTACAATACAAATAAAACTTATTGTAAATATAGAAATAAAAAATTGAGACTTTATTCACGAATACTGAAACTAATTTTAAAGAATGAGTTACATTAATAATATACTGTACGTATATATATCTATATATATATATATGTATATATATATATATATATATATATATATATATATATATATATATATATATATGTATGTGTGTGTTTATGTATGTATATGTATAATGTTTTCGTATTCGTTTGAACAATTGTTTAGATAAACAAGTTTTCAAACGTAAACTTGTAGAAAGTTAAACAGATACGATACCTGTTTTCAAACTTCCACACGTGTGTGGTTACAAACAAATATATTAAGTGATCAAATATAAGTGATAATTATACTTGCAACATTTATTATAATCTTATATTTCAGATTTGGTACTTTCGGTGCGATAGCAGAATATGGTGCGGAGAAAAAGGTGTCACAAAATACTAGTGTTTCTGCAGCAGTGATGTTAGGTGTACCCAGTGGAGTCATGCTTAAGCTCAAGTTAGTAAAACTACTTGTTACTTGTTAACTGTTGACTCCTATCACAACACCATCTGATTACTCAACACGTCTGTACAGAGCCTCGCTAAACCATATATGAGAATATAAATAAATATAAAGAGAATATAAAGTATATGTCTTACTGGCATATGCCCAGTTAAGTCACCCATTATAAGTCTTAGCCACGCATATACTAAACGTCGCATGAAAAGGAGTGGAGAGAGTGATGAAAACGAGCGGCTGCGCTAGGAATCATGTCAATCACTATAGCTTGTTTCAATAGAACTTAATGGAAATATAAACGTTACATTTCCATTAATTAATAATTCACCCGGCCATAAGACACTCCGCTGTTGTCCAAAGATATATCAAATAATTTAGACGTTTCTTTATTTATTATTCAATAATGTCCAAACGATTGAACCGATTTGAATTAAATTTGGTACACTAGTAGGCTATATCCTAAACGCATAGAATATTTTCTCTATTGATGCTCGCAAGCGAAGCTGTAAGAGACGGCTAGTAATGTGATATTGTATATTTGTTTTCTCAGATGGACTTGTTCCACGCAGACCATAGTTGTTCCAATCCACTTGTGCGAAGAGGTGATGCCATCCCCCGTGTTCTACGCGACAGTTGTGCCAATTGTGTCCTGGTTGGTGCTCAAGAAGCTCATTCTAGACCCAATAACTCGTGAAAGGCAGGAACGTGAACGACAGCGTTCCATGGAAGCCAATTATGAAAGGTGAGGCTCTTAAAACAACCTAAATGTTCTCATTGAACTGGCAACATCTGCTTTATTTATTTTGTATTGGTAATTTTTTACAAATAATTATATAGTGTAGTCTGTCATTTTCTTCCAATCAATTTTGGGAAAAACAAATATGCGGTATAAAGTATTGAAAATAAGGTATTAATCAGATAAGATTGTTGTCCTATAACTTTAAAAAAATGTATTCATTATAAATTTACATTCTCATATATATCTTTATAATCGAATTCCAATATGTAAATTGGTTGATTAATGTTTAAGTTGGGTTCTTGGGTTGCACGTTATCTATGGTGCACTCACTAGTCATACATATTGGCCTAGTTATAAAAATATATATTTAATAGATTACAGGAAATGCAACGTGAAGCGAGAGCCACCGTCGAGCTTATGAAGGAAACATATTCCAGAATTAAAAGTGATGAAGAAAAGAAAAAGGGCTTAGTGGTAATACGCGCACTATATGGAAAATTACCGCCAGGTAACTTTATTTGATCATTTATTTGAGTATAGATTATTATAGCGTGTGAGCTATTAAGCTTGATTTAAGTTCATTTGAAATGAGTTTGTTTAGAAACGTAAAGCCTTTGTCTCTTTCTGGGTCTTCCTCTATACTCACAATCATCCACATTTTTATTTAACACGTTTCTTACCATATTTTCTTTGTCCCTGTGAACACATTTAAATAAATAACTTACACATTCATAATCATACAATTAGTTCTAAATTTTTTTGTGTATTACTAGAGTAATAAAACAACGTTATTTACACTGTTCTGCAAGAGTTTATTTTCATGGTTATAATAAAGCAAAATATAATAATATATTAATATGTGGATACTTTTAAATATTTATGCACATCCCTGATATTGTCGATGAGAAATAAAGTGTCTCTATAAAATTGCATATATCTAACTGTTTTATTATGTTTTCTCCCATTAAAATGTGACAGTTAAATTGTACGACGTCTTACAGTCTTATCATCATCATATCAGCCGTTATTTGACTACTGCTGAACATAGGTATCTCCTATAGAGTGTCATAAAGAACAGGGCCGTTATGGCAGTTTACAATTGGGGGAGATTTACAATTAGGACCATGCTATGTTAAATTATATGTCATCATTATCATTACAATCTACCAATGATCCATCAATCACTGTTGAACATAGGTCTTCCTCATATTTAACCACAAAGAACGACCCTTGGCCACATGCATCCAGCAACTTCATGCAACATTTTATATCATTACTCCATTTTGCAGAAGTCGCCACATTCTAAATTACTATAGTACCCCTTTATTCTATACAGGTGCATCAAGTCACGAAATACCTGAGCCAACGGGAGATGGAATATCACCGGAGTGCCCATCACCATTTAGTGAAGTGATTGATGTCACAATACCCGTTCAGTGCCTAGTGAAAGATTCGCGGTTAGAACTATTGGCAGCTAGTAAGGTGAGTTACGCATAGTTTCATCTGAACTGACTGCCAAATTCTTCTAAGATACGGAAGCTAACCTATCTTGATTAGATAGACCATGTGCTACCTGAGGGAACTGTTAAGAGTCATCGAAATCAGCATATATGAACGAGTTGCGAAATTGAAAGCCTTGATTTAATATATGTAAGGATTTGACACTTCTCTCTGCCTACCCTATAAGAGACGTGACTCGAAGATATAAGTACTGCAGGATGTCATCAGAAAAGATTAAAAATAGCATTAATACCAGCAAAGAGTAAAGAAATATAAGAATTTTAAATGTTATTTAATATTCTGTACAAAGTATATGATGATGCGCGATTCTCAGTCGCATATGCTAGATAAATGCTAAATTGCTTGAATGATTGTCAAGATGTAAACAAATTAACACCTTTTTATGTTATAATTTATAATATTAGTATACATTTAAAATATCTACTTGTACTTCCACTATTTTTATACTAAAAAAATTTATTTATATACACGATCGGTCTCGGAACATCATTCTCAGGTATATAAAAATTAAATCAAAACCAATGAAAGTACTATAAGTATTTTAAATACTGAATTAATGACTGTAAATCTCTTATGTAACAATATATACACAAAAAATCTAAATTACGAGAAGCAAGGTAAACAGGCAAAGAAAACTTGTCGCTAAATAGGGATCTCTTCCAGGCAATCTTAAAACATTATATAATCAATAAAATGAGGTTCCGTCAAGAAACAACGACACAATTAATGACCAAACAATTTATTTTCACAGTCGGAGTTGCCGGGATTTTTTGATCCATGCGTGGGCGAGGATAAACATCTAACAGTGCAATACTTCTTCCACAACAACCTTCATTCCTGCACCGTGTCCGACTCTCAACCTCTAGTCCTGCCACGTAATAGTTAGTATACAATCTATATTATTGTTTAAATAAGATTTACATAAAACATTGTATGTATCTATTTATAATAGTAACTTGGCAATGGCAAATAATCTGTCTACGCACCTGATAGAAAGTGGTAACGGTCATCTATAAATATACAGAACAACAATATAGAAATCATAGAAAATTCTTTTTGACTCCTCGTCTTGAGGATTAAAATGTTCTCTGTGATTTTACTGCTTCTTATCGAAACGTAACCATGCAAGCATTATCCATCAGGTATACAGATATTGCAGACACATATAAATTACAAAAACAAATGTCAAAAACAAGAACTGCCAAAAAAAATTACTACTAATTGAATTATTTAATCTTTAGATATAAAATGTATTTACATGTTTATGTATTAATGAATTACGTTAAATAATATATAATTAGTTGATATAATTGTATAAGTATTGTTGCTTCCTATCTGCCTTAATTAGAGCTAGTTATTCGTAAAATATTCATTTTATTTGGTGAAAAGTACAAATTCGAGTACACATTTTTCTGTCGATGGCTGCAAATTGTTTATTTATTAATGTTGTCCTGTTATTTTGTTAATTATAACTAGTTTATGCCCGCTACTCGTGCAAGTAGGAATACCGTTTTATATGTACGAATGAAATAGATAATTTCTAAATCATGTGAAATGTGAAATGTGAATAGGACTTTATTTTCCGCGCTTAGCCTCTATTTCTAAATCATAAATAAATAACGTGACGAGATAATTTAGATTTTGAAATAGAGCTTCCGGAACACAACTGTGATAATTGCGGCAATTCGATGCAAGTTATTAATGCGTGATGCCAGAACAAATAGAAAGATAAACAGACTAATGCTCTAAAAATATTGTTTTAACTTCTATTCTCTTAATAAGAATATTAACACCACTCATTACCTAATTTTGTTTTTTTATTCACTTCTCCGTATTTTTCGTAACATAGACGTTCTTTACATAAGCTACAAATGACTAGATTCGATAAGGAAGAAAGGACAAGATTGTTTACTAGATATATCCAAGTATAAAAACAAATCAACATATAAGGAAACCTATAAACAAGCGGTAATCGTGTATAGAATATCGATTATATAAAATCGTATAAATTAAATTGACAAACTAAGCTCCGCAAATACTGCAACGCGTGTAATAGTGATAAAATTAATATTGAACCAATACGAGAGTAAATCCTATTAATTGCGAAAAGAAATAGCGAATCATCGCATCATCATCTTCTTGTCCTTACCTTAATTATTTGGGGTCAGCGTAATATGATTTTATTGATAATACACAAGGTTTTGACCCTTGGTTTTACGACCGGCTGTCTATCTGGCGTTAACTCTCCTTAGAAATGCATTTATTGATGGTATCCGCAACCTATGCTATGGTGGATAGATTTAAGCAAAATAAGGGGGATGTTGTGAAAAATTAAAGGAAGTTGGTAAAAAAGGAATGAATGATTTATGGGGAAAAGGGAGTGAGGGACACTACAATTGTGGAGGGGTTACTGGTCAGAAAATGCAGTTTGGGAGACCAAAGCCCCATGCCCCGTATGCCCTTAGAATCGTATAGGTCTCTAGAGAGGAATACTAAAAAAAGAAAAACGTACGTCACGTACGTAACACACAAAAAAAAAATTATAGTCGTAAACCTTTTGTCAAGAGTAAGGCCAGTTTGTTTTTGTCGGACAAAATCGTAAATTATTATACGACAGTAGACTACAGGTAGGGAATGAAGATGGCTAACGCGATTGTTGACCTTTACTCAAATGAAATTAAGGCTGAATTTAAAGTAGGCACGTTTTTATTGCTTCTCATTCAATGACTGATATTTCACAATATTAATAATTGAATGGAACACAACCTCCTAAAGGACCTTGTGTACTATAATTATATGTAACAATTTCGTAATAAAATCAATGATACACTCGTAATTTACTTGAACTCATTGATTACCATTTTTTTATGCCATTAATTCCTAGATGATCTATATACTTTTATACAACTATAATGACAAGTATAGAAGTACAATGAACGGCACCATGAATATGTCAGAATTAACTGTGACTTACTTGGTACATACATCGTTGCCGTTGGCCATTCCTGAGTACCAAGATATTATGTCTCCGTACCATGTAATTTCACTGCCACTCTTTCACCTTTCAAACCAAAATACAGACGTAACCGTAAAAATACATACGGAACTTGAGATACTTCCTAGCAAATAACTCGTAAAAATATACCTCTGTTAAAAAAATAAATGCCACAGAACATACTGCATAGTACCTTCTCGTTACAAACCTAGGGGTCTGCTAAAAAAAGTTTAATTGTCGTTATTGGCTAATATTTTTTATTTTATTTTTTTCAGATCATCGAATAAAGAATCATAGATCCTGAAAATTGAAGTCAAAGCGCAAGTGTTTGTTCACGGCGCGAGACCGCCAGCACACGCTACAGTAAAAACTAACTGAGAAGGTGTTTTAAAGATTAGCGAATTCGAAATGCAATAATTTTATAATAATGAAAACGATGATGAACATACAAGCTAATATAATTTCGTTCGAATAAGACGAATAGGATGGACGGAGAACGGCCAGTCTGTTTTTTTTGTACATAGCACATTTAGTAAATAATGTTGGCGGGTATAATTTTTGTGTGTCTGTTTTTATGTTAATGAAATTACTATTTTAAAATAAAAAGCAAAAAACATGCTCACATTTATATTAACTATAAAAAATTCTACAACGTTATAACACTGAATGCTTTTTATTGTAGTAAATTGTCTATGGTATAAAAGACATGACAGAATTGTTTATTAAATATGCCAACTGAGAAAAAATAGAGTACAATGTTCGTCTTCAAGACATGTACCATTTTCATTCAATTAAGCATTGCCATTCAAGTAGGTTTTTAAAGATGAATAGAATATCTTTAAAAATTATATATTTATGAGGTCTGTATATACATAGGAATATAATATTGATAATTATTATCATTAAATATAACTATTAGTATCGTTGAAAATTTAAAGTGTCTATTGCAACTTACTGGTATAAATATTATATTTATTTATATAAATAAATAACTTATATAACTGGTCATGGTTTAGTAAGGTTCAGTCTGTACACCTATCAAAAAAAAAATGGCACCAACATAGTATGGGAAGGACTTAACAGAAAGGATTCAGTTCACATTATTAAAAATGAGATCATGCTTCTAGAATTACGTAGGAATTTCATATTCGTTCGTACCATTGTCTTAAAATAGAAAGTCTGTATACCGTTTTGGTGCAATTGCCACATTTATATCCATTTCGTGAGTTCTTTCTGCTAAACCTCGTCCATTTATTATTATAAAATTTTATCCTAAAATTCCATCAATTTATTATCGTATGCGCCTTCTCAGTTGAATAGAATTGTACTCTAATTAATATTATGTTGAAATCTACCAAAATCCAGAGCAGTATATATAACTGCATATATTGTATTTGAAGGCAATTAGATACATGTAACATTCCATTTTAAATTATCATTTTTCTTTATTTCATTATTATTCTTTCATTAATAAATTATCACTTAATTCGAATGTTTTTTATATATGTCAGGTCCCTTATAAAGTGGCCAGAGAGAACTGGATGTCAGATAGCCCTATCAAGAGTATTATAAATTTAACAGTGCAATGTTATTCAAAAAGTATATATAAATACGTTTTTCTTACCATTGTGAATAGCTGATGAAATTTCTAGTAATTACAGTAACATTTTTTTACAAAAGCTGATTGAGTTTTTAATAGGTAATTGTTAAATTTTATGTACACATTTTCAATATTATATATATGTATACAAATAAAATTGTATTTATTAAAATGTTAATGTAATTTTATATTCTGCAATTAGTATGCGATTGACAAAATTTCGAAGTGTTAGTTCAACTAATAAGAGTTTCATTTCCAAATCTTTTTAATCATACAGTTGTTAAAATATTTTTAAATATATACCAGTGTTTTAAAATATTTTAAAGAACATTTTGCTAAATAATTTATTTATTATTAGGTGAAATGTTGTCACGCTATGCTTATAATTTATAACATTTTTTTTATACAACTTTCAACATTAGGCATAGAGAGCTTTTAATTTAATTTATACTACCTACTTTTAATTTCCGTTAATGATACAGACCATGTCGATATGGTTAAGGTGCACAGCATGATCGTGTCGTTGCGATATTGTACTTAACGACAAAATCTCGTCGTATTGTACCAGAAAACGATATTTACATTGTATGTAAGAGATCGAATTGAGCTCACTAAAATGGGCGTCTTTAATTTATCCTAACACGGCATGATTTTGTTTTACCGATATTTCCGTATTTGTCACTGACATGCCGTGCACGTCTGCGATATCGTGACGGAAAATTAAAGTCATCTCCAATTTTGCAATTTAAATTAACTTTAAGCGCTAAATTCAAATTAGTGTTTGCATTTGCATACATTTTACTCTCCTATTAACTTAGTGCCATATTATTGTAAATTATAACATCGAATAGTAACAAAAAAGTTGTTTTTTTTATTATTATTTTTATGTAACAGTATTAAAAAATTAATTAATTGTTGTTAAAGTGCAAAATTGGAAATCATTATGTTTTCAATGCTCATATACGAAGGCTATATTGAAAAACATTATTTTATAAAATTATATTAAATCAAAATTATAAACAATGATTTGTTATTTTTAAATAAAATTTTAAATTAATTAATTTAATTATTTATTTATAATAAATAAATAACAGAAAAACTGATTCCACAAATGACCTATCGTGTATTAGCTGCGTACTATCTATTTATGTCTGGTTTATTATTTATAAATATTTATCTGGAAAAATGCTTATGAACTAGTGAGAGGGACGCAAAAGACTTCAATTATATTTAAACCTTCATGTAGATATCCGTTACATATTAAATTATGTAGTGTTTGCTTATCATTGAAAATATATACATATAATACTTTTCTGGATTTTGTTAAATTTGTTATAAATTTACTAATGGAGTACAGATTACAAATAATTACTTATCGTTACCTTGTTTTAATGTTCACTGCTTCTGCAGTTTTGGATGCATGATGAGAGTTACACAATGGTTGTTATTATTTTAGTTTATATCACGTTGGGATATGTACATTTACTACTGAAACATAATTGAAAATATTAGATCGTTCTTTGTATATCAACGCTGTCATATATTTAGACAGTTAGCATGTCAATGTCTTCTAATTAATAAAACATAAATTTGTTTATTTCATTTGGTTTTTATTTTTAAGGCCTTCATACACGATGTTTATTTTATTTGTGAACAAAATATCCTTAGTATAAGTCTTTTACTTGCATCATGTGTGTGCATTGTAGCATACAAATTTAAATATTCCATTATGTTGAGATAAAATGTGCGTTTTGGTTTGTCAACTTAAAAGTAAAGACGAGGTAAATATAAAGAGATATTTTTGTATCAAAATGATTTCAGTCATGAGTAATTTCACTGTCATACCCCATTCTTCAAAGGATATAAAGTAAGGAGAAAGATATAAGGAAAAATTAATAGACTAAACGATAATATATCTACGTAAAAAAGGAGTCAGCACAGGTATAACACCTGATAGAATCTATGCAAGTATATCTAGGTAAACATGTCTCCCCCTTGGGGGGTTTTGCCCGTAGATGTCACGCTTGGCAGGGACAAGCACAGTTAAAGTTTTACAAACACAGTTGTGGCATAATTAATACGTTTTCTGCTGGTGGTTAGTTGGTAGAGAATGCCATATGGCATTATGCTCGCCACTTGTACAAAGTTTTATTGTGCAATTAAGAATAAATGAATGACTGGGACCGAAATATCCACACATATCTTTTTTACCACTGAATAAACGATCTTTAAGGAATGACTACTAGTTTCCATATTTTCAAATCAAATCAGATATTTATAGTAAATTATAGGTTTTTTTTTTTTAATGGAATGGTAACTCCGCCTATAATATCGGTATACCTGTCTGGTTCGCCTGTAATATGATGGGCAGTAGCGTTCATATTAACATAAGCACCGAAAGCCTAATTGCGGTTGATAAGCCGATGCTTGGCCTGGCAACTACTGGCAAAATTCCCCAATCATAAACACCAAAATGCAAAATATATTCCAGTTCCCGGCAGTACCGCTATTTCTGACTCAGGTAGGTAATATGTGTGTGGGGTGTAACGAATTGGCTTCCAACAAATTTGACTGGATCTGGCAACACATAATGCACAAACGTTACATTGAAATATTATAGGAATATCTGAAGTCCGAAGTCAGGGGGAGGATAGAATAATTGAATGAATGAATCCGTGGACTTGTGCCCACTGAGATGAAGCTCCGTCCCATAGTGGTATCAAGTTCAAGAAAGCAAGACTTTTGCACCATATACCATATACGTACGCTACGGCAGATTATAAAGAAGACATAAGAGTATAATCTGTCACAATGTCTTACATTTGTGGATTATGAGAATGTCTTTCATTCGGTCTAAACATGGATGATACTACAGTCACTCCAGCTGTACAAAATAGACTATAGATATATTTTAACCCAAATTTTTTCATCAATGACGTGGCAAAGTGGCATATGGCTTTGATGACGATTACCGTAGCTGATTGACGCCCGAAATACGCGCATGTTGGCGATCTTATGGCATGTAGCCTCTTTACCCCACACAACATTTTTAAGTTCTGAATTTATTTTTTTTTATTTGTATTACCCATAGATTTATTAACTTTTTAACTATGCTCGTATAACTTTAAACTATATTTTTTTTAATGGGTGACAACGCAATGACAACCCCGCCTACGCTATCGATATGCGCGGGCAGGGGCTAGAAATGATAGGTGAGGATGAAAACGGGTCAGTTAGCCCAATGTGACGAATTCTACAAGAATTAATCACGACGATTTCTTTTTGAATCACCGAATGTCAAAAACGATACACATATTGAGAAAATGGAGAATTTGAATAGTTTTTATTTTTTATAAAATCCACTAATAATTACAGCTTTATTATATAACTGCAACGGCATATGTTTATACTTAATCACATAGTGTTCACAGTAGTATGTTTGTTATTAAAACATACTTAAATAGCTGAATGGAATTGAATGAAAGTTGTTTATATCCCAACTTAATACACAAGACATTTTATATACCAATTCATGCGAGCAAAAGAAAAAAGTAAATGAGTATTTAATAAAAATATTTTTAGTGAAATTTTTCTAAAGACAGTTGAAGAGAATAAATGACACTTCCAAAACATGCACTTTTAAAAAAATGCATTATAACGCCTTGATGGTCTAGTAGTTTTCACTTCGCCTTATCTCCTGATGGTCAGATATTCGATCACCGTACAATGAAAACATTTGTATTTACGTGTATGTGGAGCCCTACTCACACAGGTTTCACTTGCTTGTAGTAGTGTTATTGTCTCAACATAGTTCCTACTATCTTTCTTTCTAGATATTCTGTGCTACTACTAACAATCCCTTTGGATATTTATTTAATTATTCATTTATTACTATGTTACTATGACATGCTCCAGTCTTAGATTATATAGATAGAGCATCGAATTTAAAAAACGGGTTAACTTTTTGTCAGCTAATTGTCAAATTAGCTGATTTGCTTTTGTTATTAGTGTTCTATATATTTACGCATAAAATGTATTTTGATTTATTCTTTAATAAATAAAATCAGTGTTTACACATTAAAAAATGCAGAAATTATAAGACAAAATAAATATAGGAGTTATAACAGAATCACTCATTACTATTTATCACGAAAAATTGTATGAAAAAGTTAAACCGTTTTTCTCGAAGCATTTCTATGGAGATACTCTATGTATATAATCTAAGGCTCAAGTATACATACGAGGTATGTATGCGCTATGGGCCAGTTCAATGTTAATTTAATAAATCTATAATTATTATACCGACAATTGTTTCAACGTCTAATAGCTAATTTCTTTTGCATTAGACGCGTTACACACGTGTTTCGCGAGATAATTTATCCATTTTGAATTTATACAACCCTTTTGTATTGAAGAACAATGGACGATAAATCCAGCCACGGCGTGAAGCGACTTTATGTATGCGTTTCGGACATACGTTCTAATGGCTGGGAAGATAATAGAGGAATCACACTATAATGTTTTTGTTGACAATTATTTCTGAGAGGAAATAATTTACTGTAATTTTATTTAGGTTTCGTCATCTAGCCAGGCATGTGAGTGACTCGTTTTCACTGAGCCGAAACCAGCAACGTTTTAATTTCAACTCCGTCAATAGAGTTTAGGATGTGTGTAAGGGATAGAGATTATTATGGGATTTTAATTTATGAAATTTAATAAAGTCGACCTTTAGAGAAATTTTTAATACTTATTTAAATAGTGCTAAAGAGTGTAATAAATAATCTAACTTATCTACTTTATGCTAGAGTTAATAAGTCAGATAATAATATAAAATATAAATACTACTGAACACAGTGTCGTATAGTTCCAAACTAAAGATAGTTTGTACTATGTGTACTAGAAAACTAACAAAAATACTTACATACAATATAAATATACATATATTACACATAGAAAATCTCTGACGAATATAAATAATTAGACTAGTTATTGAAGTCGCTGGCGGAAGACCCAAAAAAAAAAAAATTTATAAAATAACTAAATTTTATTCTAAAGTTACAATAATGGGTGTCTTCAGATCGATGTGTGATCTGTAAGTGAAGTCATATCGAATCAAATACAAAGGAAATGGGTAATTTTGCTGTGGGAATTGAAGTGCTGACTCGACGCAGGTGTCTTTCTCGGTAGCGCGCCTTCTTGCGTCATGTTAGGTGGTCCGATCCGATCGCCGTTGAAGGTGTGTCGTAATACTTTACTATAACAGACTTAAAAATATAAATAAATTTATGCATAAATGTTTGTATTGTACGGAAATAGAACTCGCAATCATCAGAAGGTGAGGCCGTGTGTTAAATCATTAAGCCATTAGAATTCTCAAAAATGATTATACAATTATCATTTCTGTTATTTTTTATTTTTATATAACGAAGGTAGCAAACAAGCATTCAGGCCTACTACTTATTTTACCGCCCACGTTAATAATTTTAAACTTTATAGGATCTTATGCATACGCTTATTTATTTTTAGGATTTTTTAGAAATCTTAAAATGGCAAATAATATGGCTGGCCCACCTAAAGAAAAGCGTCGCCTATAGGCATGAACACCACCAGGAACCTCAGGTGACATCTGTGGTACTGATCGTGCTTTACCATTCTTGAAAGCTATGAACCAAGCCTTCGAACTTTTTACCATCGTACGGCTCGCCATCGACAGGGAGTTCATCCTCGTGTCCTACAGCCTCAATGGTCGCGTACTGCGCGGTTTCAGAGATGTTTCCTCCCACGAACACTCAGGTTGGTGAATGAGCTCCCTGCCGAGGTTTTCCCAAGAGAATACAGCATGGGGTTTTTCCAAAGGGGGGTAAAGAGGTTTCTTCAGGGTCGGCAACGCACGCGTAATACTTCTGGTATTGCAGGTGTTCATAGGCTACGGTAACCACTTACCATCAGGTAGGCCGTATGTTTGCCACCTCAGTAGTATAAAAAAAAAGAACTTTGTAATTTTACTGCCACATCCCACTTTTCAAACCGAAACATAGATACAGGCACAACTGCTTCACGAAAGAAACATGAATGGGTCAATGTCCTTTCTTTACTTTTTTAATACAAGATCTTATATTTTACTCTTATGGTTTATGCTAAATGAGCATATAAGCTCATAAATAGACAATAATATAATAGCTCTTAAAATCAGACATTACTCTGTACTCTAGCTACGTCGCTTTACAAAGTATGCTACAAGTCACTAACTAAAATAAAATCGCAGATAATAGCTGCGTTCGGATTGGTTAGCAGTGATGTGAAATCACGACAAACGGCCGTCCGGACCGTTCAGAGCGAGCGAATAAACACTTTATTACATTGCATAAAAGTGTACGTTTGCTTGTTCTTGTTATAAAAATCATAATTCATGTTTTACATTCAAAAGTAATAGCAAAAGTAGTAGAGCGACATTAAGTCATTGCAAGCGAAAAATCGCTTTTTATGATTTGCCACTAATAATATCACTGTATTTGATTTGTCACAGTGAATAAAATAATAATTTCTCTACATAATTAAATGTAGCAATAATTTCCATACCTTGTTATAATTCAAGCGATGTA